CCCCAAAACCCCAAAACCCCAAAACCCCAAAACCCCGAGTAAAAATTAATATATTGAAAATACAAAAATGGATAAGTAATACTCACAATAATCCCTCTAGAGAAAGTTTTTCAGAACTTAGCAGAAGGATCACAGATGATTTTAAGAAAAGAGAGCGCTTCTCCATGAATAGTACACCCTTAGAAATACAGAAAAAGGAAAGAACAATAGCAGAGTCTAGCTTCAAAAAGAAGAGCAGGCTATATCAAGGGAATAAGACAAGCACTGCAAAGTTAATGAAGAAGATCTCTAGGATAAACTTCTCAAGCATGGAAGATACTAAAATAACAGAGTATTAATTGACAATTTAGATGATAAGGTGTGTATATGTACCTCAAACTTATAGGTCAAATTCCTTATTGCTCCCTATAACAAGAAAGAACTACTAGTAATTTATTCAAAATATCATAGAATTGTGAGCATATGGAATTTGACTTTGAGAAGAAAAGCAATGATATCGACATCAATGCTCCTAATATACCAAAGATAAGATATTGGCAAAAGATAACCAATTTTGTATTGAAAGAAAACACTGATTCTTTCAATCTTACTCTTAAAGCGATTAGAAGGAACTACGACCATATAAAGCTTAAGAAATTACAGAACATTCTTCAAAAGAAAAAGAAGAGAAGGATGAAATCTAATAGAAGGGTTTCGTTCCTTCGGATAAAAAAGACTCGAAAGAACTCGTTACTAAAGTAACCTATTGTTGTATAAAATGTAGCTTGACAATCGCGAAATCTAGAAGAAGTATAGCCAATTCTCAAAGTTTACACAGTCAATCTTTCAATATCAGCTCTCCTAAGAGAAAAATTCCTATTTCAAATTCAAGTTTTTTGGAAAATTTTGACGATACCTTCACAGAGATCTGTGAGGGAGATAATTCTGTATCAAGTAAATCTAAGAACAGTTCTGCTTCAAAGAAAAAGCGACAGAGCCCTGATACAGCTACGAAGAAGGAATTTCTTGAGCAAGCCAGGAGTAAAGAACTTTCTAAACTGTATAGAAAAATATGACAAATCTATGCGAAAGAATAGCAGAAGAAGGATTTTAAAATTCAATCACAACCAAAAGCCGAATTAAGGATGATGCCAACTTCTTTAAAATGCAAACAATCAGATGTCCCGGTATTGGCGGCCATGGCTTAACCAATGGGCTTTACAGAAGCTTGTCACCAAGTAAGAGATTTGTTAAAGAGAACCGACAAAGCATTATGACTAATTTACCAAAATTAGAGAACTCTGACTCTGATATAAGTTTTAATATAAATAAAGCAGTAAGTTTCTTATACGAAATTAGTAGAAGAAAAGGCCTAGATGACGTAATTCCCTTGAAAGCAGGAATAAGCTGGTTCTAACCTCATGTGGGGTTATAAAGAAAAGAGATTTGTTTACTAATGAGAGTCATCAGAACTACTTCAACAATAAGTTAATCATGGAGAAATACAAGTATTTTCCATATTTTATGCCTAGGCCAATGTTGGATTTGTGAATTCCTGAGCAAAAGCATCCCCGATTAAGAAATACCAAGCAGTAAAATTTAGTTTTAAAATAGAAACTATAGGTCAAAAAGAGTAGTATGAAAGACAAATTTACATCCTTTTAAGCGAAGGATCAGAAAATAATAACTCAATTTCAACCATGTAAGATATTTCAGGGGTTTTGGGGTTTTGGGGTTTTGGGGTTTTGGGG